AGAGAGAGAGAGAGAGAGAGAGAGACAGAGAGAGAGAGAGAGAGAGAGAGAGAGAGAGAGCCATACAGATAGACAGACAGACAGACAAACAGAGCCACAGAAACAGACAGACAGACACACAGAAACAGACACACAGACAGAATTTCCTAAAACACAAGTTTCACAGCCCTGCCAGCTATAGACAAATTCTTACATCGTTCTCTCATCAATGATACACAACCATAATATCTCAACAACAACAACACACTCACTGATGGATGTTGATAATCATGGCACCAGCATGGAGGGTTGGCGACCTTCGTACTCAAGTTATTTATACCCCCACCAGGAGGCGTCAGGATAACATATCAACTGATAACGTCGATAACTGTCCACCAGCCAAGGACCTGCACGTGCTTCAGGTAAAGATAACTGCCTTACTGCATTAATTACTCTTGTTCAGGTAGCCCGTGTTCCTGACGTCAACGTCTCGTGTGGAGTTAGAATTTATCTGTTGTGGTGGTGGTGGTGACTGTTGTCGTGGTGGTGGTAGTGGTGGTGGTGGTGGTGACTGTTGCGGTGGTGGTGTTGGTGACTTTTATGGTGGTGGTGGTGACTGTTGTGGTGGTGGTGGTGAATGTTGTTGTGGTGGTGACTGTTTTTGTGGTGGTGACTGTTGTTGTGGTGGTGACTGTTGTGGTGGTGACTGTATTGTAGTAGTTGTGATGCCCATATATTTTTAAACAATTGTAATTTTCCAAAAGTTTATTCCAAAAAATAATTGAGGTTTTATAGTATTTCGGGTGTGAACTTAAAAACATCTTGTCATCGTCTGGGAAAGTAGTGGATTTTTTTATACCGGTATTTAATAACACAATCTAATAATAACCCAGGATTTTATTTACTGAAATAATCTTCTGTTTGAACTGGAACTAATGTTAGTGATGTCAGCACAAAACCTACCTTTCTGAAATCACTGATACAAAGCTTTTTTTCTGAGGCTGCCTTAATAAAATTCTTGCGTTTACTCCAGCATTGATATGACCAGGGCCAGTTCTTGTTCACCGTTGTTGTATAGTACGAGGACCTTACCAACACGTTTATTCATAGAGTCAGTGTACTAAATTTTTTTTCCTACACAAGGCAGCAGCGTTGTCGGTCTTGCACTGCAGCCCAAGACATATTTCTTTACTTAATAAACAATAAAATTTACCTAAGGCACCAAGTCTGCTGTGTGTGGCCGAGACGTGGTGATGGCACCTTAAGATTCCTACATTTTCCACGACTAAAGACGTTTATTTTTAACTGTCAGCTCAGGGATTCAGGTTTGAAACAATACTGTTTCTTGGTGTGTGTGTGTGTGTGTGTGTGTGTGTGTGTGTGTGTGTGTGAAGACGTGTATGGTGTGTCTTGAGAACCAAACATCAGTGTTCAGTTAAATAAACATAAGAACATAAGAAAATAAGGAGTCTTCAATAGGCCGGTTGGCCTGTGCATGGCAGCTCCTGTCGAGAGTTACTACCACTCTATCATTCATGAATCTATCTAGCCTCCTTTTAAAACTTTCCGGCGTTCCAGCACTTACTACAAATTTGCTTAGCTTGTTCCACTCGTCCACCACCCTATTTGTGAACCAGTTCCTTCCTATCTCCCTCCTAAACCTAAACTTATCCAACTTAAATCAGTTGCTGCGAGTCCTATCCTGCTCGGATATTATAAGAACTTTATCTATATCCCCTTTATTGATTCCTTTCACCCACTTAAATACTTCTATCATATCTCCCTGTACTCTTCGTCTTTCTAGGGAATGCAAATTTAGTTTCTTTAACCTATCTTGATATGGAAGGTTTCTAAGTCCCGGAATCATTTTCGTCATTCTTCGCTGCACCGACTCCAGTGAATTCATATCCATAATTCTGGTCCCTGAGGTGATTCCCTAAACAACACCTAAAGGTAACTTCCGGGTTCTAAGATGACACGTCACTAATATAAACCACTTACACACACAGCTCCTAAAATAACATCGTGCCAACTCTTAGGCCCTCAACTGCTGCCTTAAGAAAATTTATAATAAAAGTAATTAAAGTAGGATCATTGCACAAAAGGATAAGTCATAATATATATATATATATATATATATATATATATATATATATATATATATATATATATATATATATATATATATATATATATATATATATATATATACATAATCATGATAAAATCACACAGTAAAAAGGGAAGCAATGGAGCACCTGAGCTTTCGTCTTTATTCAAGACATCTTCAGAGGCAACAAAATTACAAGGACGGAGAGAGGCTTAAGTACACAGGGTGACCTTACTAAACATAAGGTCAGGTCATAAACACGACATCCACTAATCCGCACACCATCACCTCCAAACACACAAAGGAGCTTAAAAGAAAGGGCGACGTAACTAGTCATGCTAAGTCAGGTAAAAAATATGGGACTACTAATCATCTATCCTACATCTAACTCGAATGCTTTGAAAGCATTCGAGTTAGATGTAGGATAGTGCTGCTGTCCCTTGTCCCTCGTTCCCATCCTGTGAGAGATCCTTCACGAAGGATATTGGGCTGCCTTTGTCCCACTTTGTTTAATTGTAATTAAGACCATCTAAGTGTAGGGGGTTCGGACCGATGTATATGTCCAAGAGGAATTTCTGGTATCCAGGAGGACAATTGGTTCAGATCCGACTAGAGAGCGCTCTTGGTCATTGTCTTAGCTTCGACATCGGGCAAGACGCCAATTGTGTCGTGTTGGGCACTAAATCCCCATCGTGGTTTATCTTAATATTCTGGACGGTATCAGATATTATCTATCACGACCCAGATCGACATTTACGGACTGCCAGAAGTTTCTTGCCTTCTCGTAAGCCAACCACGGGAGGAGTTCCTTTCAGGAGTGAGCAAGGACTATCAAAAGTTCTTCAACATGTTTCCCCTTTTCCAGCTCCTTAAGTTTGGCACCGCATTTCTTGACTTTATTACCGGAAGGTGATATTGATCCATCGTCCTCTACAACTGTGATAAAACAAATTACATCTTTTTTTTCCTTAGTGGAAAGACATCGGAAAATTTCCTTCATTCCTCGCGTTTCTTTCTGATCTCTAGTTCATTCTGCCACTTCAGACGGCGACACAGCTTCCAGAGGCTCCTGGTCTACTTGAGTGGAAACTCAATGGAGCGAATTCCAATCATCTCTTAATATTACCAGTTCTTCAATCCTCTCCTTCCATCCCCCTCTCCCTCAGCTCCTTTCACATTGCTTCCCGTCTTCTTTCCAATGCTACCACTCACCCCTTTACCTCTACTGCTCCAGACAACGATATAAATTCCAGCGATTCTTACCACAATCTCCTGCCATCTCCCTGACCCTTGATTTCCTCTGCTGTTTCAGAGGGCTATAGACACACTTCAGTGACTTTAGGGACTTAGTGCCTTTATTCCACCCCACCGTCCCTTTATCGTTTCAAACATAAACAGATGCCGGAGGTCGTCGTAGTTTCCACACAACTCGCCAGCCACTGGGGAGAGACCCCAAGAAGTTTTCACCCACAACCAAAGTCATTAAAAGTTCGCCTCGGGGGCTCATGTCCCCTGGGGAGGTCAGACCGCATGTAGAATTCTATTTTTATCTCATACGAACCTATATTAAAGGGCATGGATCAACCAGGAAGGAATTCATTGGTTTTGGGCTGTGTTTAATCAACCCAACTCCAATTTATTCTGTTATGTCCCAAAACACCTCATTGTTAGTTCGGAAAATAAATTTTTTGTTGGATACTCTAGCCTAGGGCCAACTATTGGTTCCTGTAAACTAAATCAACAGCCTTAATTATTCAATAGTTAACCTCTAGGAACTAACGTGTTAGTTACGAGAGTTATACAGTGACGTCAGTGGTTGGTGTTGTGGAGTGACGTCATGTGTTACTGATGTGTAATAAGTCATTACACATCCGTTATTACTAATAACTGATTGATTGATTGGTTGAATGATTTATTGGTTGACTGATTGATTGATTTGTATATATTGCATCTAACGACGAAACAATTTAATTTAGGTAAAACCGTATTCACTTATTTCCTATCTAAAAAGTAACCTAAAACTATATAACAAATGCATATAGACATAACTACACTTAAGAGATGATAAGAATACGTGTCATATACGCCAACGAGGCCAACACCTCACTGAACTAAACACTCCATCCTCTGTAAACGGATGAGTGTGGGTGATGGATGACAGTGGGTGATGGATGAAAGTGGGTGCTGGATGAGTGTGGGTGATGGATGAGTGTAGGTGATGGATGAGTGTGAGTGATGGATGAGTGTGGGTGATGGATGAGTGTGGGTGATGGATGAGTGTAAGTGATGGATGAGTGTGGGTGCTGGATGAGTGTGGGTGATGGATGAGTGTAGGTGATGGATGAGTGTGGGTGCTGGATGAGTGTGGGTGATGGATGAGGCAGTGTGGATGTGATGGGATGAGTGTGGGATGATGGATGAGTGTGGGTGATGGATGAGTGTGGGTGATGGATGAGTGTAAGTGATGGATGAGTGTGGGTGCTGGATGAGTGTGGGTGATGGATGAGTGTAGGTGATGGATGAGTGTGGATGATGGATGAATGTGTGATGGATGAGTGTGAGTGATGAGCATAAGAGATAGGTTATTCCAGACCTTGAGACAGTATTAAGAGACAGACCGACAGACAGACACATTGCCGTCCACTGCCTCGTACAATAGGAGTATTGACAGTGACAGTAAATAGCGCAATTGTCTTGTTATGGCGCAGCGGG